TCTTAAGGAGTAATCCATGTATTGATTAGTAGAACTTTTTCTAATCACTGAAGATAGGTTTAGGGGTGACAGTGTCAAAGAATTTTCATTTATTACAAGAGCTGTTACTTGGCTTTATTTTATAATTCTTTCTTCTGTTAGAACGGTATTCAACGTACTAAAACCTTTACTCAATTTGAGGGGTCAACTTGTAGGCTGCTCCAGTAACCAATTACATTAAATGCATTCTTATGTAAGTTTTGTCCATGGGTGATGGTGCACAGATTTTTACGCGCTAAGAACCTCGCGATTCTTGACCACTGGCAGTCCTTCCCTTTTAGCGAAGTCCGTTGTACGAGTATACAAAACAAATCAGTAAAAAAAAAAAAAAGAAAAAATATGGTGGTAACGTGCCATGTGGAACTCTGGGAAAGAGGTGCATACTTTTCTCGTGCGCCTCAACCCAGAGTTCCCCAGGGCACGCTGACGCGTATTGTTGACAAGCCTACATGGTGTTCGTAGCGTAAGGGTTACTATTATCTGGGAGTCGATAGATTAAGCACGAGCTTTAAGGTCTTGCTGTGTAAGTTGAATCATTTGTTGTGTATCACTGAACCTTCGCAGTTCATGTTCTCTATCCAGAATGCCAAGAGGGTGTCAGTAAAACGAAGCTGAGACCTGGAGTGATCTATTAGCTGTGCAATGAGGTAAATGTGCAAGGGTGTGGTCTAGCAGCACCCAGTGGCCCCTGGCGCCTTACTTTTGCTCTCGGGTGACTCAGGAATTTTAGTTTTTTCATACTAAGCATATGCTGGTTATCCTGGATTTTACAGTTTCAAAGAATTGGGCTCCATTCAAATTTCGTTAGAGCATAGCCTTGATAAGGCGCGAGAGTTCAGGACTTGAACACATAAAACGCTTCTCTCCTTACATAAACCCACAAGGTCATTGTCAATACCGCTTGGAAGATAAAAAAGGATTGTTTATTTTCATTTCGCAATACTCTAGAAAATTTTAATGCGACAAAAATGATCTGTGAGTTATTATGAAAGCCATTACTCCGACTCGGCCGTCTCACTTTGAAAACTGTAAACTGAATTGAAGTAACTGCACCAAAAGTTTACTCGCTCTTTCTAATTTTCTCAATGTAATGGTAATGTTGAGCCTTGCACAGTTTATTTATTATTCATCGGCTTATTTTACGAGAGCCGGTGTTCATTTTCCGCATTCTTTCCATGTAAGCTTTGAAGCAATATTCCAGGAACTCAAAAGCTGTCTCGCACCACGCCCCAACAGTCATCAGTAACCAACTGCACCAGTGAGTACCTTGAGCATCGATCCACGCCCCCGAGCCAGTCGATGTTACGCTCGGGAAAGCTCGCAAAAGGTCCTCCTGCCAAAACAAGGGAACAGATAACTCAGTAAATGAACCTAAAGGCGCATTTTTGCCAGAGCTTTCTACGACTTGTAGGAGACCTTTTCCAGGCATTCAGTCAGTAAACTCGCGGAAAAAAAGTAAACGGCGTGATAATTTTATCAATCCTCCGCTATAATCGCGCGCCGTTTTTTTTTTTTTTTTTTTTTCTTTCTTTTATCTCGCTTCGCTTAATTAACTCAATGCCCGGAACAGGCTGATTTCTGTGACAATAGGCGACTAAGCTGCGTATTGCTCCTTTCTCCGGATGTTCCATTGTAAATATTATCTCCCTCCCAAAATCCCGCCAGTTATTCGAACGCGTTGTAAATACTACAAATCGTGAACACTACAGTGTAGAAAGGAGTACGGTGAGATTAATTAAATAACCTCAGCCAGGGTTCAAATCCTTGAGAGCGTTTCTCTTAGTAGTTATCGGTTCCAAATGAGCTGTTTTTATTCGAAATGTTTACATTATAGATGAACATATTTTCAATAGCATTGAAATAAAAGAACAAAGATATCAGGCGACGAAACAGAATAGGTTTTGAGCCAAGAAATGTACCAGATTTTAACATTTGTTTGGGGTCCGTCGACCCAGGACCTCTCAACTCGGATTTCAGCAACACTGGCAACTGAGAGATAGAGCCGAAAGCAGTCGATTTAAATTAGCAAGAAAATATCGAGGCAAACCATTTTCTAGTCACTTAACTCTGATTAATAGTGTAGTTCTGAACGAGTGCATGCATAAAAAAGTTTGTTTCATCCACGAAATATTTTTTCGAATTAACTTCTCGAGTCGACGCACTTCATCGTGATTTTGACAACGTAAATTGAACTCAGCTTAGTCATCCCTGATACTCAGTGTTTTCTAACATTTGAAATTTGTAATGTTCAGTTGTAAAATAATATTGGAGATATAGTACCCCAAAGAGCCCCAGAATAAGTGTTACCAGTTATGAACGCTACGCACTTAATACAGATTTCCTAATTCTTTCAGCATTTCGCCTGAAAACCTACTGAGACTTAATACTGACTCTTTTGTACCAGAATTCGGATATTGGCTAACATCCTAATATAGCTACTCTTGAATTTTTACTCTGATATTTTATGCCCTATCCAAGGAGAAAGATTGAGATCGATCCCAAGGTGTAAGTCTTTAATGTGTCTTTGCGAAGCCAAAATGCTTGGATCCTTTCTCTTGTAAAAAGTTCTCAAATTTGGGTTAGGGCTGTCAAAATACGTTGGGGATCTAGTTTGACTTGTTGCCGAACCATGTAATTTCATGAAATCCTCTGTAATTAATTTTTTTCTGACGTCAAATCTTTGAAAAAATGTAAATGTGGAAAGTCAGAATGGATCAAACAACTCGTGGACAGTTTCAGCCTCTTTAAGCATATTTTGAGAATTAATACGAAACAGACCAACGATATTGTTGTTGAAAAGGAAACCACTTGTTTCATCTTCAATCGAGTCGTGTTCACTTCCACGGAACTTTAATAAATTTGTGCATATAGTAGTTCTCTGTGTTCGACAATAGCACTGAGGTCAAGAGTTTAAGGCCTTAATGTTTATCTGGTCTTCCATAGATCTTAGAGACAACCATCAAAATAAACGGGGAGTTCGTGTAAACAAACGCGTTTTCATTAACAGCTTGATCATACGAGCTTCATTCTTT